TTCAAGTGTGGATCTCAGATCCAAAAACTTTTTCTCAGGTAGCTCCCTCTGGTAGGGTAGCTCCTAGCCTTGTAGTTGCCTGGTGGTGGTCAGTGACTTCCCACCCTCTACTAGCCATGGTTGATGCCGCTTCGCGGCATTATAACGCGGAGTCCAGTGAGGCTCCTTGGCCTACGCGTGATGGCGTTCCAAACCAGCTGGCTTCGCCTGAGATAGTGGCCAGGATCCGACAATGTCGGATTTGCCTGCGCGTGCTGCAGTGCAGCCCTTACCACATCCTCGAGCAAGCAATGCGAGAGGAGATGGGACAGGCCGAGATAAGTTATCTCCTTTTCGCTATTAGCAGTGCTATGCGCGTGCACCCTCAAGACGTCAGTGACGACCATACAGACTTCGAAGAAGAAAGGGACAAGAACTTGTGGCCTCCCTTCTTTCCGTTTACACAGCTGCCTGGCGAGCAGCCTGATAAGGGCAGTGCCCGTCCCATGCGCCGTTACACCATGGACGACAGGAACCACCCCCCGCGGCCTTTCCCTGCGCCGGGGTGGCCATACACAGGGATGTACGATTGGCCCCCCAGTGGGGAGGAGGACAACCACCCCAAGCTGGCCTGGCGGCTCAACCATGTAACGCGCTTGGAGCGCCATGTTGTGCAGAAGATTGAAGCCAGTGGCTTCTCCTACCACAAAGATGGCAAAGGGGCTGGCAAAGGCGGTTTCATCCGCACCCCCACAGTGGGGGCGACAAGCATGGAGACACGCAACCCGCTCCTGACAGTGGCGGTCAGGTCCCGGCTTCCTCGTCCACAGAGAATCCGGTGACAGTGCCGCCGGGCATCCCCTCGAGCAAGACCCCTTCGGTGGCGCCGGCGTCTTCAGTGAACACGCCTCAAGAGTCGCAACCGGCCGCAGAGCAGCCCTCCCCGGTTGTCGAAGTTCCCGAGAGTGGGACCGACAACTCCGGTGAGTCAGTGGTCTCCGTGGCCGACAGCCAAGCCGCGACGGCAGTGCCGGACGCGAACGCAACAGTGATTGCGCGGCCCACAAACCGCAGGCGGCAGCGCCGCTTCATTCCCCCAACCGGGGCAAACATCCGGGACGAGTCCTGGCGCGACTCCGCAGCGGCCACTGATGCAAGGTATCCGGGGCTGAGGACGCTAGTAGCGTCTCTTGACCTCGACCGCCTTCCGCCAGTGATGGAATGGCCTTGGTGGGCTCCCCCCGGCAGTGAACGGGAGAGGGAGTTTCCCCAAAGGCAGGGTGACATTCTCTGCTTGATCCCCTGCACCTATCCTGGCTGCCCAGGGCAGGGGTTTATGCCATGCGGCAGGAATTGCTCAGTGGGCAAGACACCGCACCGGCACCACGAGTGTGACCATTGCCACGGCCTCGTCATGCAGTCCCAGCGGCGACCTCGTCGCCGGGGCAACCGCCGCTAGCCGCAGTGCGGAAATTCTGGCTGCATTTGCCTGCGCTGCCACACAGATGCTTCGTGCGCCTCGTCGCGCCGCACCTGCATGCAGTGCAGGGTTTTTGCGTGCCGGGCGCCAGTGGCGTTGTCCATGTCGGCAGGGCCTCATCTTCCCCTCGTCTTCCCTAGGTCACGCAGGGAAGCGGAAGCGCCTTGCTTGGAAAATAAGCCAGGAGCGCAGGCCTCACGCATGTAGCCTTTTTCGCTGTGTGTCACAGTTTGAGCTAGTAGCTTGATGCGGTTGCATCCTTCAGGTCGGGTCGACCTGGGCAGTGTCTGCCTTTTGTCCGCAGCTTTTCTTGCTCAGTGCTCTTAGTAAGCTTTCCTTTTTCTGCAACGTCCTCATGTCGTTGCCGTCCGAGGACCAGTTGGCGCGAGCCCTCAGTGGGGTGCCGCAGGCGGCAAAGGCCGCTCTCTACGAGGCGGTCTTGAGCTTCACCGAGCCGGGCAGTGCCCTGACTGACGCTGCTGATGCAGCAGAGAAAGCGGGTTGGCACAAAGGATCCAGTGGATCCGTTGCCGATGCCGAACTGCTCCAGAGGGCCCTTCTGGGATACCGCCCTCCGGAATCGCCGAAGTCGTTTTTTGCAGCGCGGGACCTCCGAGCGCGACGCGCAGTGCGCACGCCGATTCCTCCGACAAGCCCGCGTAACCGCCCCGGCCCGGCAGAGCCGGCGACCCCTCCAGCCGACACAGGGCGCTCGCCAACCAGTCCTGCAGAGCAGGTTAAGGAAGAGGCGCAAGCGGCACTGCTGCCAGCCGCCCCCATGGAGCAGGACGAGGGAGAAGAAAGCGAAGAGGCCACCCGCATCAGTGACGCGTGCACGTGGCGCGCAAATCCTCCAGCCCGGCAGTGCCGTCGCTGGAGGTCAGGACAGAGCTGCCAGTGCTGGGCCCAACGCCCGCAGAGGCGCACGGGAGCCGTAAGCGCCCCTGCGCCCCCCGCCGCCACCAACCTCGCGCCGAGGGCGCAGTACGCCCAACCGTGCCAGTGACACGGACGCGGCCGACACGACCGCACCTCCCGCACAGGCTAAGGACAGTGCCCCATTACCGGCCGAGGAGTCGACAGAGCCGACCGCACGGCAGGTTTTCATTTGCAGTGGGTGTGACACCCAAATGAACATTTGGCAAGACCGTGCCAGTGAGTACGTGTGCTCCTACTGCGGTCTTCTCGAGGACTACCAGGCAGCAGTGCTGCATTACGACCGCCCCAGCGCCAGTGGCGCAGTCGGCCAGTTCTCCGGCGAGCGCAGGCGCAAGGCTTGGCAGTGCCCAAGTTGCGGCTTCATGCACTGCACGCGCTGCGCCCGGAAGTTCATGGGCGCAGGGTGGGTGCCGAGACAAGACGGCCTCACCTCTTACACAGGTGAGCGTCGCCCTACCCGCGGCCCTCCGGCCTCAGTGCGGGCGGATCTTGCTCGCGCAGAGCGCGAGGCGGCAGATCGCGATAGAGAGACGCGCCGCCGAAACAACAAAGGCGGGGGAAAGGGCCGGGACCGCGACCGTGGCGGGGACTGGTCCAACCGGCGAGGTGGCCATCAGCGCCCCTGAGAGGGCAGCGCCCTATCGGAACAGTGTTCCGAATTGGCTTTTTGACCCGGCTTTGGGTGCAGTGCGCCCCTCCACGGCCATCTCTGCAGACCTGAACAGTGTTCAAGCGTCAGCAGCCCCCGGGACGCCAGTAGTCAGCTTTTCTGCGGTTTTGCAGAAGGCCGGCGCAGAGCGTCCAGATCTTGGGGCAAAGCCCACAGACATGACAGCCCTCGCGTCGAGGAAGGTAAAAGTCGTGCCTCCCCTGTTCTCTGTGTCAGGGACATGTTCTCGGCTGGTAGTGCGAGGGCGCAGAGTTCCTGGTAGGGCCTCTGCTTTTGTGTCCGCAGCCACTTTTAAGCTCTCTGCTCAGCAGTTTGTTTTTGCGCTTTATTCCTCCCACTCCCTCTCAGGACCGGCTGTGCTGAGGGAGGGAGGGTCTGTCCTGCATGCCTAGTAGGCTTCTGCGCGGGCTGCGTTGTTCTTGAGGCTGAGCATGCGCGTGCTGTTCGTAGCAGCTTTGCTCGTAGCTGTTGTGGCTCTTTCTCTTTACCCATCTGGCAAGTTGCCTTGGCACGGTCCCCCGGACGTGTCTTCTACAAGTCAGGTTAGTAACCAGGCTATGGACGTTGACGACAAGGTTAGTAACCTCTGGCTCAGTCTCCCGCGCAGGGCTCGTGCCCTTCAGCCGTGGGAGTCGGCGTCCTGGATGACTCGCTCAGCGGCTTGGCCGTGGGAGCTGTCAGTAACACAACCACCAGCAGTGGACCCAGTACCCGTGGTACACAGTTCCACTTTGGTTCTGAAGCGGAAAGCCGAAAAATCTTCGGCCCCAGCAGCGCCGGATTACGACGGCGGCTTCGCCTTGACCGTTTGCTCCCGTACTACGGTGTACGAGGGTGATCGACGGAGCTCGGCAATTTTCAAACTGACCTCTTTAGTAAAGGGTTGGCCGGATGCCTTTGACATAGTCGCACAGTGTGCTGACTCTCAGGGTCGCGTCGATCTTGACGAGCTCGACTTCAGCATCGAAGCTGCCCTCAGCTACAAAGCCACTAACACGGTGGTTCGGAGGCTGAACTCCTTGTCTGCTTTCGTCCAGTGGGCGAGCACACAGTCACCACTGGCTGGCGACCCCTTTCCCAGTCACAGAGAAAGTGACATGGCGCTATATCCAGTGGATGATGCGCAATGGCAAAGGAGCTTCGAGCCCGTCGAGCCTGCTGCAGAGTCTAAACTGGTGCTGCGGGGTCTTCGGCCTCGCCTTCGAGTCGGAGGTGACCAGCTCTCGGATCATTGGCCTTTGCAGGAGCACCGAGGCCAGCGCCCCGCCACCTAAACGTGCACCTGCTCTCACCGTTAAGGAGGTGGTTCTGCTGGAGCGCATTGCCAACTCGGAGGTAGTCTACGACAGTGTCGTGGCTGGAGGCCTCCTTTTCATGCTCTTTGCGTGCGCCCGCGCCAGTGACGCGGCGCGCGTCTCCTCCTTCTCAGTTCAGGTCCCCGACGACCCCTGTGCCACAGTGTGGATGCAAGCCAGTGTCGCTAAAGCCAAGACGGCCATCGGCGCCAGGAGTCGTCTGCTTTTGCCCCTCATAGCACCAGTGGTCATGTTTGAGGAGGCTTGGGTCCCCAGGTGGTTGGAACACCGAGCTAAACTTGGACTTGCCTGCGGTGGGGACATCCCTCTTGGGTCAGTGATCCCTGCCTTCAGCTCAGACGGAGACCTCGCAGGCAGGCCGATGACCTCTCAGGAGATCACTCGATGGCTGCGCAGTGCACTGGCCAGCGCCGGTGCTGAAGACGCAGTGCGTCTCAGCAGCCACAGCCTCAAGGCGTCCTGCTTGACCTGGGCGTCCAAAGCGGCAGTTGGTCTGGATTTGCGCCGTCTGCTTGCTCACCACGTCCACGACAGTGCTCGTAGCACTGAGACGTACAGCCGTCACATTCTCATCCCCGCAGTGCGGGTGTTGGAAGAAGTTCTCATAGCCATCAGAGATGGTGACTTCTTGCCAGACCGCCCCCTCGGCCAGCAGTTTTCCATGCCCAGCGCCCAGCTCAACCTGCGCCGCGAAAATCTCAGTGAGCTTTCGCACAGGGAGACCAGCTCGGGCTCCTCTCCCCCAGTGGGGTCTGAGGCGCTGAAAGTTTCACAACTTCAGGAGCTCAGCCAGACAGAGGACAGTGCCAGTGACACTGACCGTGAGGACACCTTTGCCAAGGAACCGGCCGTGCCGGAGCATCCGCGGCTGCAGCGTGAAGTGCAGTGCACTCTTCCGGACTGGGCGGTGGCGTGGTGTCACCTTACCAGTGGCAAGCTGCACGCCAGCCGAGGTTCTCAATCCCTGCGCCTCTTGTGCGGACGTGCTCTCAACGAGAAGTACACCATCTGCGAAGTTCGCAGCTTGGCCCCAGGTCGCCCGCACTGTAAGACGTGCTGGAGCAGCAAGTCTTTTGAGGATGAGTGAAAAGGTGAGCGAGGGTCTTGCGCGTTCCTTTGGTAGGAGTTCCTGCTTCTTCTCTCTCTTCTTTCTTTCTGTGTCCCTCGTCCTGTTCAGGACCATGTCCAGTCTTGTCGACAGCGTCGCGGAGTTCAAGAGCCGGGCCCAGCAATTGTTGGGCGAAGAGGACGCTCAGAAGCTCCTCACGAACGACATCAAGTCCTTCGGCGAGCTGGCCTACAGTGTAGCCGACCAGCCTGACCGCATCAGTGATGCGCGTTTCGACGAAATCGTGAAGAAGGTCTTCCCAGCGGACGTAAGCCTGGGGACAAAGGCCGCAGTGCGGCGCCTCGCCTTCGAGTCCCTCACTTTCAGCATCCAAGACCTGAAGATGAGGATGGAGGGCGACAGCGTCGCCTCCAAAACCCTGCCGCTGCACGAGCGCGAGGAGCGCCGCGCCAAGCAGGTCGCGCGCCTTCGCGGCGTCGTCATCGAAGGCGATCACGACCCTGCAAACTCGCTCGTGGACAAGGCCGCTCCCATGCTGCAGGACGGCATGGTCCGCTATATCCCGCCGTCGCAGTGCGTCAGCCGGGATGCGGAGATCGCCTCAGTGAGGCGTGACAAGGAATTTTTTCTCCCTAGAGTCTGGGGAGATCACCCTGAAGAAGAAAGAGCAGAATGTGCACGTTGAGATCGGCAACGAGCTCAGCTTAACGCAAGCCTTTGCTCGTCGCGGGCTTGCGCTCGACAGAGTCGGGCTGCTGGATTTCACCATTCACGAGAGACTCGTGCGACAGTATTTCTCTGTCCTTAACAGG